GGGGACCAGCAGTTAGCATAATGGCTGGACTCCCATATAGCCGACCGCAGTTTGAGTCCCAGACCCGGTGACTTAAAGTCATGCCGGGCACATGTGCATGCATTCCCAAGATCCTGAGAGGAGAATGGAGGAGATGGATTGCGATGTGGCCATCCCCTCTGGGGGAGGGGTTATTTCTCACTTTCTGTCTCTCTGTCTCTGGTGAGTGCACACACCCTAAAACAAAAAACCTCTCAAAAAAAAAAAAAAAGAAAAGACAAGGAAGAGAAGGAAGAGAAAAACAACATGTAATTTTTGTTACAATGAGAAAAATCTTTGTAGATAATATATCTATTTCATTTTCTGTGCATTGCCACCTGTAAATATGAGTTTCAAAAGGGATATTGCCTTGGATTAGAAGAGATCTATGATACCTAGACAAATCAGTGAGACCTCATTTTAGGCCCAATATCCTGTATGTGCACGAGTGTGTGTGTGTGTGTGTGTGTGTGTGTGTGTGTGTGTGTGTATGTGTACCCCTAAAAGCTTAAAAATGGTTTCATACAGTTTTTTTGCTTGCATATACTAACTTTTAAGTTTCCTATACTATTGTACCAGAGGAGAGGGGAAATAAAATTCTATGGAATTTCTTGGGAAAAACCAACGATCTCAGGTAGAAGAGGAAAGAGTTATTTCAGATCTGTTAATATTTTAGTATGAAGAGAAAGAAAGTGAGTGAAATATAGGAATATACATGTGGCAAGAGTAAAAAGAAGGGGGAAAACTATCTAAAGGGAAGAAAATAAAAGAAGATGAAGAAATACTGAGTACCAGTTTATGTACAGAACAGGAAAAAAAAAAAGAGAGTTTATGAAAAGTCTGATGGTTCCACTGTCTGAATTCTTATGGAATTATGTCAGGGAGCAATGATTTCATATTTGATTGACTTTTTGGCTAACATGAGGTTAGGCTGCATACATGACATAACGAGATGTTTACTATGCCAAGGAGAAAATGCCATCAAAGCACTCTCTTTTGAAAAGCTGATCATCTGTGTGGTCTTTAACTCTTGCTCTCTGACTCAGAAATGCCTGCTGAGTTGTGCAAATTTGTGAGAGGACTTCCCCCAGGTTAATTTCTGGTGACACAGTTGATAGCAACTCTTGGCAATGACTCAGCAGACAGAATCCAGGGAGTGTTATAGTAGGAGGTACGTGGTGTGGAAAGTGGAGGTGAGAGGAGAGTGACATCTGGGAGTAGCACGAGAGGAGTAAGAAAAATGACAAAACATAGACCCAGGATATCAGAAAATTCAGCCAAAGACCGTCATTAAATGTTGTAACACAACTTTGTCCAGCCTTTCCGTCACTGCACACGCTCCCCTGGTGCAGCCTTGTTTAATTGCCAGGCGCACTGGGATCCTGAACATCAAAAGGTTACAGTGTTTTCAGTATATTTAATTGGAGATGTTAGCGAAGTGAATGACACATTTAAAATTATCTCAAAACTTAAAAAAAAAATAAAAACCTGATATTTTCAGTTATCAGGACATATGCAAACATGATATTCTTAATTGCTTAGGCTACACAAGTAACACTTTCCTGTAGGCTTTATTCATTTATTAGCCTTCTTTCCGCTGAATAGTTTTGTTTTATTTTTGTATTTATCTACATGGACACATAAAAGATATGAAAATGTAGTGGCAAACAAGGTTATATCTTCACTTCCTTAACCACTTTTTCTTCCTGATATATCCAATGAGAGAATTCCATTTTTAGAGGGGCTGGTAGGTGGCATGGTGGTTAAGGCACTGGATTACCATATGAATGATTGCAGTGTGAGTCCTGGACCTGGCAGCTTGTTTTCCCGTTTTCAAATGGAATAAAATAAATAAACAATTCTTTAAAAATAAATTTTCATTATTTTGAACTACAGGTCATTACCTAAGGAGGTTGCTCCTGAGGTTTTCCGAGTGGCGCTCTGAATGAACACTAATTCATACTTTTCACCTATTTTTATCTCGCTTTATTTTATTTATTTATTTATTTATTTATTTATTTATTTATTTATTTTCCTTTAAAATGTATTAGGGTGAGGGATAGGTAATCAAGGATGGGAAAAAAAAAAAGCAAAATGTCTTTACCTATTGAAGCATTAGCAGAGGGTCCTTGATGAAAAAGGAGTTCTGGGGAACCAGCAGTTAGCATAATGGCTATGTCGTTGGACTCCCACGTAGTCGACCGTGGTTCGCATCCTGGACCCGGTGGCTTAAAACTCATGCTGGGCGCGTGTGCGTGCGTGCCCAAGATACCGAGAGGAGAATGGAAGAGAAGGGATTAT